GTGGCGCTCGGGAGTCGCCAGAGCCGGCCCTACCTGCTGGTGAGCACAGGCAGGGCCCCCGGCCCCCATCCTGGGCCTGCGCTGTCCAGGCCCCTGATGACCCGACACCATCCCCAGGTGCATGTGGACCAAGAGCTACTCATCTACGAGGCCTTTGCCCACGACTCGCAGCTCGGCCAGGGAAACCTCAAAGTTCGCTTCAAGAAGGTGCGGGGGTGGCCGGGGGGCACTGGGCAGGGTGGGGGCAGGGACGGGTGCTCACAGAACTCCCCCCCAGGTCCCCCATAACATCAACTTCCGAGAGAAGAAGCCTAAGCTGTCCAAGAAGAAGGCGGAGGGTGGCAGCGCCGAGGAGGGGGCCGCGGCCCGTGGGCGAGTGGCGCGCTTCCGCTACTTCGAGGACATTTATGGCTACTCGGGGGTAGGCCGGGGACTGGGGGAGGCCAAGCAGTGGGGCTTCGCCCCGCAGGCTCCTCATGGTGCTGCCCGCAGGTCTTCATCTGTGGGCCTTCACCTCACTGGCTCCTGGTGACCAGCCGGGGGGCCCTGCGGCTGCACCCCATGGGCATCGACGGCCCCATCGACTCCTTCGCCCCGTTCCACAACGTCAACTGCCCCCGCGGCTTCCTGTACTTCAACAGACAGGTAGCTGCCGGGTTGGGCTGCCAGGGCAGGTGTCGTGCTGGGCTGGAGACAAGGCGCTGGTGACGAGATGGAGCTGCGGGGGGGGGCGGGGGGGGGGCTAAGGAGGCGAGACCTGGGCTTACTGCTGGGAAGGTTGAGGGCACCTGCCTGGGCGACCGGAGTTCAGGCACTATCACTGCTCTGGCAGCTGAGACCCCAGCTCTGCCCCGTCGGCGCTGTGGCTGGCTGAAGCGCTCACCTCTGAGCCTCACTTTCCTCCTCTGTCACCCGAGAACTCAAGGGATGATGGTGCTGATGCACCCGGGACTGGGTGAGGGGGGCTGGGCCTGGCAGGGGCCCCTCGCCTGTCTGCAGCCCTGGCATGGCCAGGGCGGGCCACCCTTTGCCTCCAGTGCTGTCGGGTCCTGGCCCTCCCTTGCCCTGGCTGACCCCAACTGCCTGCTCACCATGCTGCACAGAGCGGGGTCTGATCCCAGAGAACCCTGTGGGCCTGGGGTCACCTGTATTGCTTTCAGTGGGTGCCTGGCCTTACTGACCCCCTCAACCCCCAGGGCGAGCTGAGGATCAGCGTCCTGCCGGCCTACTTGTCTTACGATGCCCCGTGGCCCGTCAGGAAGATCCCGCTGCGCTGCACAGCCCACTATGTGGCCTACCACGTGGAGTCCAAGGTCTGAGTCCCCCTGAAGGCCAGGGACCTTCTGGGCCTGGTCTCTGGTCTGTGACACCTCCACTCCCCCAGGTATATGCTGTGGCCACCAGCACCAACACTGCGTGCACCCGGATTCCACGCATGACGGGCGAGGAGAAGGAGTTTGAGACCATCGAGAGAGGTAGGAGACGTTCAGGCTGGGCCTGCTCTTGGGGCCGTCTCTCCCTGACCGAGCCCTGTCTCTGCAGATGACCGCTACATCCACCCCCAGCAGGAGGCCTTCTCCATCCAGCTCATCTCCCCCGTCAGCTGGGAGGCCATCCCCAATGCCAGGTGAGGCTGGGTCAGGTGGGGCGGGAGGGAGGGAGGCAGGTAGCAGGGCTGCCGCCTGACCCTGCCTCCTGCAGGATCGAGCTGGAGGAGTGGGAGCACGTGACCTGCATGAAGACGGTGTCGCTGCGCAGCGAGGAGACCGTGTCCGGCCTCAAAGGCTATGTGGCCGCGGGGACCTGCCTCATGCAGGGGGAGGAGGTCACCTGCCGCGGGCGGATCCTGATCATGGACGTGATCGAGGTGGTGCCCGAGCCTGGCCAGCCCCTGACCAAGAACAAGTTCAAGGTCCTGTACGAAAAGGAGCAGAAGGGGCCCGTGACCGCCCTTTGCCACTGCAACGGCCACCTGGTGTCGGCCATCGGCCAGAAGGTGGGTCCCTGCCCCTGCAGCCCGTGACGACCCACGGCCCCGCCTGCCTGCGAGCCACTGGCTGCCACCTCTCCCACCACAGATCTTCCTGTGGAGCCTGCGTGCCAGCGAGCTGACCGGCATGGCCTTCATCGACACCCAGCTGTACATCCACCAGATGATCAGCATCAAGAACTTCATCTTGGCCGCCGACGTCATGAAGAGCATCTCGCTGCTGCGCTACCAGGAGGACAGCAAGACGCTCAGCCTCGTCTCCCGGGTACCCTGGGTGTGGGGACGGCCCTGTGCCAGGTGGTCCCTGTCCCCAGGGGGACCTGATGTGACACCCACCCCTCGGTCCCCAGGACGCCAAGCCCCTGGAAGTGTACAGCGTGGACTTCATGGTGGACAGCACCCAACTGGGCTTCCTGGGTGAGTGCAGGACTGGGGTCTGGGGCTGTTTGAGACTGTGGTGACCAGGCTGACTTGGGGCTCTGTTTCCAGTGTCTGACCGTGACCGCAACCTCATGGTGTACATGTACCTGCCGGAGGGTGAGTACTCCCTGACCCAGGGCAGGGGCTGGGTGGAGGCCGGGCGGGCTATGACCTGAGGTCTCTCTGGTCCAGCCAAGGAGAGCTTTGGTGGCATGCGCCTGCTGCGTCGGGCAGACTTCCACGTGGGTGCCCACGTGAACACCTTCTGGAGGACCCCGTGCCGAGGTGCTGCTGAGGGGCCCAGCAAGAAGTCGGTCATGTGGGAGAACAAGCACATAACGTGGTTTGGTGAGGGCCTTGTGGGTGGGGACAAGGGGCAGTGGCACGGGTGGGCAGGTGGTGCTGGGATCACTGGGCTCACACTGTCCCCTGCAGCCACTCTCGACGGCGGCATCGGGCTCCTGCTGCCCATGCAGGAGAAGACCTACCGGCGCCTACTGATGCTGCAGAACGCGCTGACCACCATGCTGCCCCACCACGCTGGCCTCAACCCCCGCGCCTTTCGGTGAGCATGCCTCTGCTTCCCACCCCCACCTCCTCCCCCCAGGTCTGCCCAGCTCCCCATGCCTAACACCTCCCCAGGATGCTGCACGTGGACCGGCGCACCCTGCAGAATGCCGTGCGGAACATCCTGGACGGAGAGCTGCTCAACCGCTACCTGTACCTGAGCACCATGGAACGCAGCGAGCTGGCCAAGAAGATCGGCACCACACCTGACATTGTGAGCAAGCCCCCTACCTCCCCGTCCCGCCCCACCCCGCCCCGCCCTGCTCTGCCCCTTACCTGCCCTCTCCCCACAGATCCTGGATGACCTGTTAGAGACGGACCGGGTCACTGCCCACTTCTAGACCCCTGGATACAGCCACTGCCACCACCCCTTTTTGTACAAAACACAGGAGAAAGATTTGTTTGGTTTGAGAAGTACGTGTGGTCATTGCAGGGCCTCCTGGCCCTACCAGTGGTCAGAGCCCCCAGGGTCCCCCCCACTCAAGCCGACAGTTGCTCCAGTGTCCCGGGTTGGGGGGCGTCCACATCTCCAGTCCGGGCCTCCTGCTCTAGGGCCCTAGGTTGCAAGGTACTCATATAGCCCCTCGTCCCTGGGCATGAGGTCCAGGTGCATCAGCACTCGAATCATGAGGACTGTGAACCTCATGGACAGGGTCTCCAGCCTGGGCGGGGGGAAAGGAGGGGTAGCAAATCAGTGGGGAGCAGGCCCTGGCCCCCCATGTGCCCGCTGGGCCCCAATTGTCCACTCACCTCAGGGCCACTTCAAACTTGAACATCTCCCAGATGACCCTGATGTGGCGCAGGAGGCTGGTGCCATAGACACTCTTGTGCGCTGAGCCTGCCAGGCGGCTCCAGCCCTTGACAGCACTGCCAGAGACATGGTCAGCCCAACCCAGCTCTCCCCTGCCCCCAACCCCAACCCCACGGGCTCCCTGCCAACACCCACCTCTTGGCCATGATGAAGTAGCGATCGACGGGGGCGCCAAGGGAAGTGTTGATGGCGCGGACGGTATTGATGTTCCGCAGCACGAGCAGCATGGGCCGCGGCAGGGCCTTGAGCACGGCCATGATGCCCTCGAAGTGCTCCCGCGCCATGGCCTGCATGTAGGCCGCCTCCTCTCGGCTCAGCAGGTGGGAGCGCCACAGCTGCCCCAGGCGCACAGGCCTCTGCATGAGCACCTCCGCGAACAGGAAGTAGTCTGGGGGCGGGCTGAGTCAAGCTGCGTGCCCGTGTGCCCTTGCGTGGGCATGCACACACACACACACCGTGCCTCACCTTGCACCCCAAGTGCCGCCGCGTGCGTCTTCATTGAGCTGTCGTCTCTCAGGATGATAGCCCGCCACAGCTGGCACAGGGCTGACCGGTCCCTGTGGGGCCCAGAGTGAGTCCAGCTCAGCGGGACAGGCAAGACAGGCTCAGCCCTGCACCCCCAGCACTTACTTCTCATCCAGGAACTGGTAGAGGCCGTGGTCCAGCAGCACCAGCTCTGCCTTCCCGTCCGGGCCTTTCCGAACCAGCACTAAGGACAGGGCACACGGCTCATGCTGGCCCGCTCCAGCCCCAGCCCCAGCCCTGCCCACTGCAGCGCTGCCTACCGTTGCCAGGGTGGGGGTCGGAGTGGATGAAGCCCGTGTAGAAGATCTGCTCAGCAAAAGCCTTGATGAGCTTCTCTGCTATCTGGGGCAGGGACAGGGCCACGCCACTGTCACAGGGCACATGAGGCACCCCCTCCCTCATGCGACTCGCTGCGCACACGGCACACCTGTGTCCCCACCGTGCACACGACAGGCACACGCACTCACATCCTGCACGGCCAGCCCCATGGACTTGATGGCCTCCACATCGTTGACCTTGCAGCCCTCACAGAACTCGGCTGTCAGCACGCGCTGGGAGAGAGCGAGAGGCTGAGCTCAGCAGGTGTGCGTCCCGGCCCCCACCCGGAGGGCACCCAGCCCACCTTGCTGGACACATCCCAGAACACGCGGGGGACCACGACGTAGTGGAAGTGCTTCAGGTCCTGTGCACAGCGCTCAGCGTTCCGGGCCTCGTTCTCAAAGTCCAGCTCCTGGGCCAGGATCCCCTTCAGGTCCTGGGGGCCACATGGACGGGCAGGTCAGGGCCAGGCACAGCCCAGCCCAGCAGCGGGTGCTGCTCCTGCCCAGGGGTCGTTACCTGGAGGACCCAGCTGAAGCCGAAGCTGGGGTGCATGAACTCCACCAGCCTGAGCAGGAGCTCCAGGGTGTGGATGTCGCCATCGAAGCGGTCCCGCAGGTCGATGTACTGCACCTGCACGGGCAAGGCACTGCACCTGCTGCCACCCAAGCCTGCCGCCGCCCCAGCCACCACCAGCAGGGGGACCCTGTACCTTCACAGCCACGACGGTGCCATCGTGCAGCCGGGCACGGTGGACCTGGGCCAGGCTGGCGGCGGCAATGGGCTGGTAGTCAAACTCCTGGAAGAGCTTGTGGGGTAGGGCGTGGAAGTCTTCAAGGAACAGCTCATCCACCTGGTGGAGAGGGTTCTTAGGGCAGCGTGGAGGCCGGGCCGAGCCCCGCCCAGCCTCTGCTCCAGGGTGGGGCTCACCTCCCGGAAGCCGCGCGTGAGGGCCCTGTCCTCCAGCACACGCAGCGTCTGGATGTACTCGGGGGGCAGCAGGTGGTTGAAGGAGCATAGCCCTTGGCCCAGCTTCACGTAGAGGCCCCCATTGTAGATGGCCCCGGACACCAGGGCGTCAGCCGCCCGCTGATGACACGCAGACATCACCTCCAAGTACTCCGGGCTGTTCTGACCACAGGCATGGAGGGGGGATGGGGGCAGGCAGGCACCTCCTCAGTCCACCCAACACCCAGCTCCTCCAGAATCCCGCCCCACAGCACAGACAGGCCCAGCTGTCACCCAGGACGCACGGACAGACCTCTTCCACCCGTCGCAGGACGACGTTCGTGCACCACCAGTAGTCTGCGGAGATCTGCAGGCCGACCCTCAAGGACCTGCCAGCACAGGCTCCCTCAGCCCCAGCAGACGCAGTCTCGGGGCCCCCCTCCGCCCGCCCCTCGTGGCCCAGGGCCAGAGGAGGCTCGTCCCAGCCTCTGTGCTCTGTGTCCATCAGCTCCTGGTCTGCAGAATAGGCCACCTGCACCCACTCCACCCTTCAGCCCCTGAGCAGTGCTGCCCGGGGCCCAGGGCCCATGGGAGTGAGAGCTGGCGGGGGGGGTGGGGGTGTAGTCTTTTAGAGGACACTCGTCCAAAAGGAAAACCCACCCAGGACTGGGCACACTTGCGATGGCCAGCTGGCCAGCTCCCATGTGAACACACCCTTGCCCCAGGCCCGCACACTCCTGGCCCTGCCTCCACTCTCTCCCAGGCAGGGCCCGTGGACAGGAGCCCCAGGGAGTCGATCGATTCCCAGATGGGGATCCCCACTGCTCTCCTGCCAAGGCGACAGCCCAGCGCAACCCAGGCCCAGGCCCCTTCTGGTGCCTCCAGATCTGTCCAGGGCCCTGTTTCTGAAGAACTGACTACTGAAGAGGTCTGGCTGCGGCCCCAACTCTAGACCCAAGACACAGACTCTAGACGGACCCTGGTGCTGAAAGGGCTGCTCCTGGGGCGTGTGGTGACAGGGAAGGTCAAAGGTCATGAGGTAGCAGCTTCCTGGTTGTGCTTATGAAGGAGAAAGTCCTAGTTTAGGAAACACTCAAGCTTTCGGGGATGATAGGGCATGACGACAACTTGCCTGCAAAGATCCCAGCAAAAAGCTGTATTATTCTTGCAACTTTTCTGGACATTTGAAATTGTGACAAAAAAGGTGGGGGGGGGTGGCAGAGACTGTAAAAAGGTCCTAAAGCAAACCTCCCACCCACCCCAGTCTGTGCACGGGGCACCTGTGACACACTCTGACCTCGGCCTCTGGCCACAGAACAAGCATCGGTGAGTCATGGTCAGACTCAGCCCCTCCCCGCGACCTCTGTCCTTCCCTGGGCTCTTGCACCCATGCTGCCCATTACCCAGGACCTGCTGTGTGTCCTCCATCTGCAGAGGCCCCGTGGTCACCCAGCACCCGCCACGACGCCCCATCAGGCCTGCCTGTCCTGGCACCTGTAAGGCTTGGCGCCGACGGGGATACTCGTCTGGCTCCCTCCCTCCAATCCCAGCTCAGCCTCTGACAGGAGGCAATGGGATGTGCTCCCGGGAGCACAGCAGAGAGGCAGGCACGCGAGCCTGCTGCTGGGGTGTCCGACACGCACGCAGAGCAGCCACACGAGGCAGGCAAGACCAGCCCCGGCCAGCCAAGGGGGCTTTTCAGCACCAAGCTGCACAGGGACAGAAGAAAAGGCAGATCCAACTCCAGGCTCGGCCATCAACCTCGAGGCTGGCACAACAGAGGCCCCGCCAGGAACCAGCCCAGGAGGGCAACTGGGAGTTCCAGGCAAACCTGTCAGCTGCCCACCAGGGAGGAGTAATGGGCTGGCTTCAACCTGGAGGCGGAGTGAGCAGGCGGTCAGCCACCTGGCATCTCCAGCCTCGTGTCAATCTCAGCGAAGCCTCTGGCGAGGTGCCTCAAGGCCTCTGTGGCCTCAGCCGTCCAGGGGCTACGGCCCAGGCCCAAGAGGCAGCAGGTGTTCACAACGAGCAGATCGGACACCTGCCCCAGCAGCACCCTTAACTAGGGTCTCACGTGAGCCCTTTCCACAGGGAGGCCTGGACACAGTGCGTTTGGGTAAACGACAGTTTTACTCGGTGCCAAGAGCTGGTTCTTAGGCCTTTGAGGCTGAGGAATTCCTGGATCGGACCAAGAGCAGGAGTGCTGACCGCGGGGCTCCTCCAGGAGGTCAGCCCTGCCCCCGAGTGTCAAAGAGCCTGAGGAGCAGACAGCACCATGTCCACTCCAGTGCCCTGGGGTGGGGTGAGACCTCTGGGTGCCAACTCTGGCGGGGAAGTTGGGGCGAGAAGACAGGTGAGGAGGAGGGTGGAAGGCACCATGCCCCTCCTTACCTCCCACCAGTTAGGGCTGATCTGGAGGGTCTGTGGAGGCGTGTCCAGTGTGACCACTCACCTGCACTAGGCCCATGAGGGCAGGGCTGTGCAGGGAGAAGGAAGGGCCACGCCACCAACCCTACCTGCCAAAGCGCGTGACACCGTCCACCATGAGCCGCATCTTTCTCCTCTCCTGCGGCTCTGCGGTGAGGTAGCGGACGCCCAGGAGCAGCGGCAGCCCCACGGCTGTGGAGGTGAGCACCTTCTTCCATAGGGGCAGGGATCCCAGGGGCCTGGAGGGACAAAGAGGCATGCTGGCTGCTTGCCGTCTGCGCCCCATCCCTGCCTGGCCTGGTTGTGCAGGTGACGTTGGTCCCAGATGCTCTCTGACCACGGTGCCCAAGTCACCTCACCTGAGCCCACAGCACCCCAGATG